AAAAGAAGAAACACGACACTATAAGTTCAAAATTTCGGCAGCACCTCCCTTGCACGGGGAGGTTTCCAAAACCTACAAAAAACAACGGCACGAAGGCCGACAATCACAAACGGCACGAAGGCCGATAAGACCAGCGGCACGAAGGCCGACATCACAACGGCACGAAGGCCGACAAACGGAGAAAGGGTGGATATACCTTGCCCACGCTCGTAGGCGGTTTGGTGACGGTAGGGGCGTCGGCGGGACGGGCACACGGAGAAGACGGCCGAGGCACCTCCTCCTCCCCTCTACCTCGGCTTCCTCCCCCTCTCCCCTTCTCCTCCTCCTCCTTCTTCCTTTTTCTTCTCTTTTTTCCTTCTCCTTTTCTTCCTTTTCCTTTTCTTTCTTTCTCTTGTTTTTTCTTCCTTCTTCTTCTTACTGCTGCTTCCTCCTCCTTCTTCCAAGCCGGCGGCAAGAGCAGGGGCGCACGAGGCCGGCGCGTGCAGGGGAGGACAGCCACCAAGCCCAGCGGTGGCAAAGACGCACGGGATGGCGGGCGGCGGTCAGCTGCTTACGGCGGGCAGGCAAGCAATGGCGAGCGCTAAAGGGGCTAGGGGTACTCGGGGGGGGGCGCGGTGTGGGGCTCATGGCGCTGGTGTGCTGCTGCCATGTGGTGCTTGGGGGGGTGCTCAGGGCGGGCCGGGTGTGTGGGCTCATGGGCGTGTGCATGCTTGCGCGCCTGCAAGGGGCCATGGCTGGGGTCTCGAGGGCGGGCGGGGCGTGGGTGGGCGGGTCTGTGGGCATGTCACACGGGAGTGCCAAAGGCTGGGCTGCTCGGTGCTGGGGTCATGGCGTGCCGGGAGACGCGGGTCAGGGGCTGGGTGCTCAGTAGTGGGTGCGAGGCTCACGGGGCGGAGGTCTGCGGGGCGGTGTGTGTGCGTGGGAGGCGCGTGGGCGTCTGGGTGCTTTCGGGGGTCTCGGCGGTCGTGATGGGGAGCCATGCCGGGGGGCCAGGGCTGGGGGCTGGGCAGGGGGGATGGTGGGGTCATGGCTGGCGTGAAGTGGCCAGCCTTGTGGGCGGGCATGGCCTGGCCGGCAGGGGGTATGTGAGGCGTCGAGACAGAGAAGCGCTAGGGTACCGGGGTGGGGGGATTTTGGGCGGCGGTTTTATTTAAAAAAAATTTGCCGAGTGTAAGCCCTTGAGCACTCGGCAAAAAAAAAATTTAATTTTTAAAACTTATTTTGCCGAAAGTGCCACATGTCGGGGCACTCGACAAAAAAAATTTTATTTTTGAAAATCACCTTTGCCGAGTGCCTTCTGGGCCGGCACTCGGCAAAAGCCCACTTTGCCGAGTGTCCCCCATGGCACTCCGCAAAATGTTTTTTTTTTATTTTGGGCCCAAATTTTTTTCTATGGCCTTGTGACAGTGTTTAAAACTCTATTTTAAAATTTGGGGTAATTTTGACTTTTTTTGATATATTTCATTAGTTTATTTCGTTTCATCTAATTGTTTGGGATATTTCAAATTTGAACTGCAGGTACATGGAATAATGGAGTTTGATCATCCAAAAATTGATACTCATGATATTTAGGGTATGTTTAGGCCGTATCCAGAAAGTCACATGAAATCTCGAGTATCTCGTTGACGTAACATGTCGAGGTACTTGCCGGAAATGTGATTTTAAATTATATAAAATGCAAACGAAGTCCGAAAATCATGAAACTTGTCGATGCGTCGTGTTATCACATGTGGAGATGTCTGGGTTTTTGGCATCCGACGTCACAATTTGCTCAAAACCTTTACAATTTTTTACCACAGCCTCCACATGTGATAACACGACGCATCGACAAGTTTCATGATTTTCGACTTTCGTTTGCATTTTATATAATTTAAAATCACATTTCCTAAGAAGTACCTCGACATGTTACGTCAATCTAGATACTCGAGATTTCATGTGACTTTCTCGGATACGGCCTAAACATACCCTAAATATCATGAGTATCAATTTTTGGATGACCAAAGTCCATTATTCCATGTACCTGCAGTTTAAATTTGAAATATCCCAAACAATTAGATTTAAACGAAATAAACTAATAAAATATATCAAAAAAGTCAAAATTGCCCCAAATTTTAAAATACAGCTTTTAAACACCACACAAGGCCACGAAAAATTTTGGGCCCAAAATCAAAAAAAAAAATTTGCCGAAAGTGCCATGGGGACACTCGGCAAAGTGGCTTTGCCAAGTGCCGCCCGTAAGGCACTTCTAAAAAGATGATTTTCAAAAAAAAAAAAAAAATGCGAGTGTGCCCATGGCGGCACTCGGCAAAAATAAGTTTTAAAAAATTAAAAAAAAAATTTGTCGAGTGCCCAAGGTTTACACTCGGCAAAATAAGTTTTTAAAAATAATAAATTTTTTTTTGCCGAGTGCCATCCGTTGGGCACTCGGCAAAGTCTGACGGCAGATGCCCGCCGTCACGGGCCGGCCACCTTTTGCCGAGTGCCGCGGCACTCGGCAAAGCCTAGATTTGCCGAGAGCCAGGCTTTGCCGAGTGCATGGCGCTCGGCAAAGCCACGTTTGCCGAGTGCTTTATTTTGCCGAGTGCGGCACTCGGCAAAATATTTCTTTGCCGAGTGCCCCGATAAAAAGCACTCGGCAAAGTCTCAGGCACTCGGCAAAGTACAGTTTTCCAGTAGTGGATGGATTCATCACTTGAGTGACACCGCAATAATCAGCAACGAAACCAACTATATGCTTTGTTAGATATGTGTCAAATATTTGTATGAGTCTGGTTACATTAGGACTTTGAGTTGTATTTGGCAGTATAAGGTAGAGTTGTAGTTGGATTTTATAACCCGATCTACTCATAATTTGTAACATCCTTGCCAGTCCAACCCACTAGCCCACTGTAAAAAGCTGATTATTAATGCATGCTGGCAATTTTATTTAGCCATGAACCACAGCTAACGACAAGCAGGTGCGTTTATACCAGCTAGCGGATGTTGAATTTGGTTGCAACCAATAGTACTAGTAGTAATCGTACCATCGCATATTTAGACAGGGTTTACGTTGTCTTGTCTTTTAAGTGTAACTGAGAAGGTAGTAACAATCTAACAATAAGCTCTCACAGAGCCAAAACCGATTGTAGTGTGCTCTTTTGAATATTCAAGTTCATCAGATTTTGCACTGAGCATTTGGTGGAACAAAGATAAACAGGTGCGCTGAAGAGCCTAAGATACGCTCAATGGACCTGTCGTCAGTTGAAACTTCCATGAACCTGACGCTGACACCTATGGCGTAGCACATTGTCCTATGAACGGAGCATACGGCCGGAAAATACTTTGACGCGTCCACAATAAGGCAGAGCCAGGCCGGCCATCATGGACGTCGCTACTCGATCTCGAGCCCCTATAAAAGGCCAGGACGTTCGGCCTCCTCTACGCACTGCACACTGCTTGCAGCACAAGCTACAAAATAGTTCCACGTAGTGCGCAATGGCAGCGATGCGAACGTGCTTGGTCGCCCTCGTCGTCGCTCTCGGGTTTCTCTTCCTAGAGAGGCCGGCCACAGCGGCGGCGGAGACGACTGCCGAGATGTCCGCGGAGCGGCGGCAGGAGGTGCAGAGCCTCCTCAGGCGTCTCAACAAGACTCCTCTCGCAACCATCGAGGTAGACATATATTGGCATCACCCATCCGTCTCCTATTAAACGCAACAAGCCGTGTGTTCAGCTTGACGTTCATGCAAAGGTCTCGTGCATGCTATCACTATACATACAATATAATAATCATTCTAACAAGGAATAATAGCCAGCGGCGCACACGTAATTCTTGCTTCCATAGTAACAATGACAGATAGATTGCTTCGTGGTTTAAGCTGGCAGACAATCCATGACAGCACTAGTACACGTAAATCTTGATGTTCCTAGCTATTTCTACGAATGCCACAAAGACCTCCTGTGGTAGGTAATTCATTTCTGTTGGCACTTTTGTTAATTTAGGACCACCTGCATTTCAGAGAACTGACTCCTGTGAAATTTATATGCAATTCTTGCATTACAAACAGATCCCCCAATTGTAAAATATTTTGTTACAGCCACATTTCAGAGATGGCATACACATATTTAACAGTTCGCTATATCGCCGACTCGCCACAGTCATTCATAGTCATGTGTCAACAGAAGTTTATTCAAGACAAATATTCATCACATATGTTGTACAAATGTTAAGATGAATATAGTTCCACTTGAACTTTTCCAAAGATAGAGTAATTAGTCTTCGATTTCATAGTAGTCCGCCAGGGCTAACAAATTAAAGTAGCCATCCTGACGACAAGTTTCGCGGTGGACGAATCAAATGCTTGTAATTTTGTCATCATTGAGATGCTTGTTTCAGTTATGTGACGGAAGTATGGTAAAAACATGGACGAGAAAAAGAGTAAATGCGATACAAGTGACAAATCTCAATTAACTTACTTCCAGTTTCGTTATATACCTCCTGTTTTCTCTAAGGAACTCACACTCGTAGTATCCATAAGAAAGTATCATTCCTTAGGAAATGTATACAACTTGTACCTATAGAGACTAGCAGGATAGAAAAATTTGTAAGAACTTATATAAAGGACACTTGTACCCGAACTGTATAAATAACAGACTAAAGGGCCATGGCTAATTCAAATTGCACAAAGTCACAAAAAAAAAACTCAACGCATTTTATTTATTGAACATTAATTTACAGGAGTAGCATGTACAGTTTGCGCACAATATTTTCTCCGGTTTTCAACCTTGTTCCAACAACTGATTCTGAGAATTTAACAGAGCCCAGATGGAGATATCATAGACTGTGTGCACGTCTCCAAACAACCTGCATTTGATCATCCCCCACTCAAGAACCATACTATCCAGGTTTCTCTTCCTGACCAAACATACTCAGGAGTAGCATGCTTGGGTGATTCTGATGAATATATTCAGTGGCGACCACTATTACCTATGTATCATTATATCACTGAATTGTCAACTTTCAGATGCGGCCTTCTTACCACCCAAGAAGCCTAAATCAAAACTACAACATTACCACCAATCCAATCACCCAAACATGGCATCAAAATGGCAAGTGCCCTGAGAACACCATACCAATACGAAGAACCATGGTGGAGGATGTCCTAAGGGCAAGTTCTATCAGCAGGTATGGCAAGAAGAGGCCCAGGAGTATTCCGAACCTCAATTCCATAAGTGGCCCTGACACGCCAAATGTATTAAATGGCCACAAGGTAAAAAAAATTATTCAAGAATCACCATGTTATTGATAATCTGCCTCTTTGATTCGTACAATTATTTCTGCAATTGCTCATTTAACTTTGTTTTCTCTCCCATGGAGCAGCATGCTGTAGCAGCTGCACAGGATAATAAGTGCTATGGAACCAAAGCCTCCTTCAATTTGTGGCAACCAACAATTGCTCGGGCAAATGATTTCAGCTTGTCACAGCTCTGGGTCACTGCAGGTTCCTACAGCGGCAACGGCCTCAATACCATTGAAGCTGGATGGCAGGTTAGACCTGAAGTGAAAACATAATAGCCGCAGGATTTTCTGCTTTGCTTGTTTTTTGTTTGCGTCAGGAAAGGAAGAACATCAAATGCTCTGGACCTTGCCCTCTAGCTCTCTTCCACCTAATAAACGGGTCCTAGGTGGCCATTCTTATATATAGATAGCTACCATCAGGATATTATATAAGCCCTCAGCATTCTTTAATGACGCAGTAAGTTGTGGTATCACTTTCGTTGTAAACTAATGACCCTTTTCTCTATACAAAATTGCAGGTTTACCCAGCTATGTATGGGGATAGCAATACTAGACTCTTCATCTACTGGACAGTAAGATAAACATCACATTCCTTTTTGTCTTCGTTAGAAATAATATTGATCCTTTTTCATTAAGGTTGGGATAAGTTTACTAACTTTCTATTGATCTGGAATGTTATAGCGGGATGCATATGAACACACAGGATGTTACAACCTAGGATGCCCAGGGTTTGTCCAGACAAACAATCAGATCACCATCGGTGGTAGCTTGTCCCCGATCTCCACATATGGTGGCACACAATATGACTTCGATATTCTTGTTTGGAAGGTAAAAAATACATAGCATTCACATCCAATGAACAAAAAGTTAAATTCATTAATGTGCATATAGAGAATCGTGCCAAATGCAATGCTTCTTTGTTCTTCTTTGATAATATGGCTCCGATCCTGGTATGTGTGTTGCCAAATACATAGCACTTGTGTCCCCTTGCATGTTTCACATTCTGTTGCGATCCCCAACCCAACAGTTAATATTTTCTTTAGAACAAGGCCTTACATGCTGAAACTAATAAATGTCAAACATTGATAATGCGTAGAAGCTTCAACCATATTTATCTTGTTTATCTGATCAAGTTAAGTCTATTAGCATGCACTCAAGTAGTTTGCCATGTTACAGTTTCTCATGTCCTACGTTAAACTTTCCTATTCACACCATTGCGTTACATATGATTTTGCACATCTATTAGCTATATCATATATGAATTCACTACTTAAACACTGATCCCATAGTCTAACACATTCGTGGCTATAAAATTAGAACCAACAAGGATAAGACATTCATGCCGGTGTGTCAGAAAAAATGTTTACAATAAGCCCTTCAGTGTAATTTCACGGGAACAAGTATACCGAGTTCTGCAAACAAGTTCTACAAAAGCATTTCTCATATTACGTGCTTGCATGGAAAATAACGACCATGCATGCTGATTCGAACTTACCAGTAGAAAGGTTTCTCTTACGTGGTGGTTTGTGGTAATGGTTGCACACTTCAGTATATATATAAGTAAAGTTTTTGTGGAACATGTTTAAAGACGGCACTTTTCTACTCCATTCCAATAAATGGGAAGAACTTGCCCATCACGCGTATAAGAATCATGTAAACTCAATTTTGCTGATGCATGATTCTGACTATTGAACTCCCAACTAACATTTCGCTTGCAGGACGCACCGAGTGGCAATTGGTGGCTACAAGTGGGAGGCAATGACGTGGGTTATTGGCCATCCTCGATCTTCTCATACTTGCAAGATAGTGCCTCCTCTGTTGAGTGGGGCGGCGAGGTATTCTCGCCTGACGCTGGCCAAACTTCAACACAAATGGGTAGTGGACACTTCCCTAACGAAGGATTTGGCAAGGCTAGTCATATCAAGAACATGCTAGTGGTAGACTCGTCCAACACCCTCAGATTGCCAAGTGGTGTGAACTTGCTAGCTGAGCAGAGCAACTGCTATAATGTGCAAAGTGGTACCAGTGGCGACTGGGGCACGTACATCTACTTTGGGGGACCTGGGAAGAATCCTAACTGCCCATAGTAAAACTATCTCGTTGACACATGACGAGTACCCATTTAGCAATATAATAATGCATGTATTACTAGACACCGAATAAGAACTGTTAGGGTCGATATTAATGCATGTAATATGCATATCCATGTATGGCCCTACAGTGGTCAATTGCTATGTATCCATCAACATATGTAAGATGTGTGATCAAGTTTTAAAAGCTTTCACCAGATGTATTCATGTTTCGCCGCTTCTTCTAGAATATGGAATAAGAACTTTTTTTGTCGTTAGTTATTACAATCATATAGGCATCACTACCGAAGACCGGCTCTTTGCCGAGTGTCAAGTGGTTTGCCGAGTGTTATTTTTCGGGCACTCGGCAAAGACGCCTTTGCCGAGTGTTTTTTTTACGCTCGGCAAAGAAGCTCTTTGCCGAGTGTTTTTTTTTGACACTCGGCAAAGAGCTTCTTTGCAGTGTTTTTTTTTGACACTCGGCAAAGAAGCTCTTTGCCGAGTGTTTTTTTTACACTCGGCAAAGAAAATTTCAAAGCATATTTTGAAGCAGTAAATTAATTCAAATGAAAAAGTTTTCAACTACAAAGTTGTATAACTCATCAAGATGTACAATGTTTGTTTTTGTCTTTTCTTCATATGACAAAGTGAAAGTAAATTTGTTCACAAATCTAACATATCTCTCTTGAAGTTTATGAAACTACAAGAGAGATATATAAGATTTGTGAATAATGTTAGAACGACCATGTCGGATGAACACATGACTAAACAACCAAAATAAACTTTGTATATCTCGAAAAGTTATGAAACTTTGTAATTTACAACTTTTTAATTTGAAATCATCTTGTGATGCAAAACTGTGTTTGAATTTTAAAAATTTAAAATTCGAACTTTTCAAACGACCTCGGATGAAAAACAACCAAAATAAACTCTGTAGATCTCGAAAAGTTATGAAACATTGTAGTTGGCAACTTTTTGATTTGAAATCATCTTGTCATGCAAAACTGTGTTTGAATTTTAAAAATTTAAAATTCGAACTTTTCAAACGACCTCGGATGGAAAAACAACCAAAATAAACTCTGTAGATCTTGAAAAGTTATGAAACATTGTAGTTGGCAACTTTTTGATTTGAAATCATCTTGTAATGCAAAACTGCATTTGAATTTCAAAATTTTTAAACGACCTCGGATGGAAAAACTTTCTAAACTAAAAGTGTAGATCTCGAAAAGTTATGAAACTTTGTAGTTTATAACTTTTTTATTTGAATTCGTTTAGGGCCTCAAACAAGCAATTTACACTCGATTTAGTATAATATGTTGGGAACTAAAACGGAATCCAGACATAAGCTACAGTGTGGTGTAGTGGTAGATGAGGTTTGCGCGTAGCGGGAGGTCGCGGGTTCAAATCCCGTCGGCCGCGTTGCTGCAAAATTTACGCGAAAAATGCTAGAGATGGGCGGGCGCTGGCCGGTGGGGGCCTCCATCGATTAAATTTTTTTTTCCTTTTTTTCCATTTTTTCCCCAATTTTTCGGGTTTTTTTTCGGTTCCAACTTTGCCGAGTGTCGGGCACTCGGCACAGACTTTGCCGAATGCCCGATAAAAGGCACTCGGCAAAGAATTCTTCGCCGACGGGTTTTTTACGGAGGCTCTTTGCCGAGTGCTGCACTCGGCAAAGGCTTTGCCGAGGGCAAAGTAGCCTTTGCCGAGTGCATTAGGCACTCGGCAAATCGCCTGAATCCGGTAGTGCATTGCACCAAAGAGATGACCAACTTGAAATAATTGTTTTTATTGAGTGAATAAATGTGGTTATACTTACTTGTAGAACTCAAAGATATATAAATCAACAACACTACTACAAAAATGAATTTTAAAAGATGCCCTTTTTTTAGAGATGGGTCAAGCAAAAACCGTCTATCAACATAGTTTTAAAGATGACAAACCTCTAGAAATCGATTTCTAGAGGCAGCTGGTGTTTTGAAACACCTCTAGATATGCCCTCTATTTTCATAGATGATTAGAAAGCCCAGCCGCCTCTAGAAGTCCCATTTTACAAGCTACTAGAAATAGAGGCATTTCTAGAGGTGGCTGAAACTTCATCTAGTCTCTAAAAATTAATGTCTAGAGGCGGTTGACTATATATATGGCCATGTCTGAGAATAGGCGTAGCACAAAAAATTCATAAATCCAAACTGAAGAGCTTGTTGAGAACCTTAACTTTGTAGTTGACCACTTTTTTATTTAAATATTATGGTCCAAAAGTTACGTTCCAATTTCTAAGATTTTGATTTGAAATTTAAACTTTTTTATTTAATTAACCGTACGTCTTATTCAACCGGCCCAAGAAAAATACAACTAGTTGATGAATATAGAGTGGTAAACTATACCATAGAAAGCGAAAGGGCATGTTGCCTAGTGGTTTCAAGAGCCTCAATGGCACCTCAGTTCGTAGGTTCGACTTCCCATGGGAGCGAATTTTCTAGGATTTAATGGCATTGTGCTTTTTAGTGGTAGGTGACGTTCCCATCGACAGCGAAGTGCCTGTGGTGAATTCTTCAATCTCGAGAATTTGTCTGTCCAGTCTTCGAAGAAGCTCATTGGCATAGGGTTTGCATGCGTGCGTTCATAAGGGATGAATGTGCGTGTGCTGTGAGTGTGCGTTGTTCTATGTAATTCGCAAATTATACCACAAAAAGGGGCAAGTCGAACAAATATTTTAACTAGACTATGATCTATCGTACCCAACATCATACAACAAAGCTGTAGAAGAATGTGTATTTACATCAAACTAATACTTGTATGTTGTGTAAGGAAAATGGACCCTTGGTCCATTTAGTTTGGATTTTGGTGTTTGATTATCAACAAGACCAAATTGGACTAATGTATTTGTAAGTGTTTGTTTTGT